TTTAATGCTGAAAAAAAAAAAAAATAGTTCTATGTCAAGCTGTCCCCCACCAAAAAAAAAAAAAGGAAATTCAAAATTCGGCCTTTTATATGGCTATAGGCTAGAGTTGATCTAACACAAGTATTTTTGGGGGAATATTCTGTAAAGAGCTGTGATAGTTGGGATGTACCGAAGACATACCAAAAAAAAAACTATTTTTTTCGACTTTTTTGCGCCCCCCAATAGGGGAGCAAATCACTGTGATGATCACTGTCGTGCATATATATTTTGACATCTTGCCTTTAACGAGCATGAAGGGCTGGGTTAAATCAGATGTCTTTGAGAATTTTGTTATTTCTAAATGATATTTCTAAATGGCTCTGTTGATTTCTTTCTTTATCAGTGGAACAGGGTGATGTCTAACAGTTTTGTTAATGAGGGAGCAGTGGCATCTATGCTGCTTTTGATTACTTACATGAGGATATTTACTTGTTTAGTCTCCATTATTTGATTATAAAAACTTGAGGATCAGCAACATGACATGGGAAGACAAATGAAAAAGAGGTCTGATCTGTTTGTGATTACATCTTGTATTTAGGGGATAATCTACTTTATATTGTTCAATTTCTGCTAATTTAATAAAATTCATGCCCTTTTATCTAGTCCCTAGAATGATCTGAGATCATTTTTTTTTAAATTGTCCACTCCTTGTGTAATAGTGAAAAAAAAAAAATACAAGCAGAAAAATGCCTTTTTGAAATTTTTTAGATTTTTTAAAAGTTATTATTATTAATATTTTTTAACAGAATCATACTAAATTTTGGGAATGTACAGGAAGCACAGGAAATTTTTTATCTACAGAATGAGGTACAATATGTGTATTTTCGACTGAATTAGACCTTCGAAATAAGGTTGTAGGTTGAATACCTAAAAAGAGGCTCTCATATTGATATGTCACTTTTACAAGAAGCACATGAAAAAACGGCAAAAACTAATTGCATCATTCAGTAGATGTATTCAGCTATAAAAAAAGCCATATTACATTTATTTTGGACAGGAAGTGTGTGTGTGCTATGCTTAACAGTGGAGTGTATAGAAATTTTGTGATTTTATTCAACGTATTTTTTACGTCATGGATAACTAATGATATATGAAATGGTATATGATTTTATCATATAAAGCTATTTCAATTTTTCATTGCGACAATGAGGGTTTACAACATAAAATTCCGGTCTGAAATATCGTTCTCCATGCCACTGAACCTCACACTCGCAGGCCGGGACGCCAGAGAAGGGGCCGTGCGCACGTGTTCCTGAGGCCTTGGGCGGTGTAAGTCTATGGGACGAATCACACATCTTTCACACTAACACTCCAGTGAAATAGAAATATATAAACATATGGTGGTGTTGCAGTGAGTATATGATATATATATGTATATACAGATCATTACCCTGTATTTCATGACCTTATATTTATATATATTGTTACCTCCATTTGTTTATTAATTTGTGGTTAGGTTGTTTTATTTTTAATACAAGGGTTACTCATAGTTATGAACAGATTTTAATGAAATTTTTACCAAAGGTGTGTCTTTGCCTAACTTGGACGCTGTTACATTTTGATGGTAATCTGGATCATGATCTTGATCAAGGATTTTGTTTTTTCAATTAAAAAAAATTACAGACAGATTCTAATGAAATATTTACCTGCTGTGTCTTGGTGATCTGGAACATTTGACAAACCTAGGGTTTGCATGTTCAAAACATTTTGCTGAAGGATGAAACTAGCAAAATATGGTCTTTTATGTGAAATTTTGGCCCTGAAAGTCTTTGGAAAATCATATTACTCAAAATCGGCAAGGTGGAAAATTTTGGTTGAAAAATGGTACGCAATTGTCTTAAAGTGTTTATGGTGACCTTTGTAGGATTCTTGACCAATTGTTCTTATTTGTTTTCTTAATTATCTTGAATATGCAATTAATTAAATGAGAAAAAGACTACTGAATCTTATCTTGAAGATACTCAGAAGATTGAGAGGTACAACTGGGAGTAGATGAAACAAATAATCACTAGTTGATCCGGGAAGGCTGGTACTTGCCTCCAAAGCTTAGAACACATGAAACTTCATAATGTGTTTTAATTGTGTTTCGGAGCTGAAATGACAAGGCTTTATATTATGACAATATTAGTAATAGAGAACAATGCTATATGAAAGATGGGAAAGAATCTTGCATTGAACTAGCTGAATACCATGAGCTGATAAAAGCCATTTGATATTCTGTGGCTTCCACCATCACATCTGACTGGATTTGAGAAGGGGTGTGGCTAGTTTTGGTAGATGCACAGCAATGGCATTGGGGAGTTGAAGAATGTCAGTATGGAAATCCAGTATGAGGTGTTTTTAGGGCCATGGTGTTTCCCCAATCCGAAGCTAGTTCACCTTGTCCATTATAACGGCTCCATTTAAAGGAGCAGGTTGTGAAAGCTTTTCGACAGCACCCAAGATTATGCTGTAATACATCCACTCAAATCACCAGATCTCAATCCCATTGAGAATGTCTGGGCAGCCATGGTCAGAGACATCCCCCAAGATCATACACGCAATCATTATATCATCGCTGCCTTAGCATTACTAGCAGGGGCGTTAGTAGCATCCATACCGGCATTCGCCATGACGTTGCGGTAACACGAAAAATTAGAATTATTAGACATTTGGAGACCCTTTTTTTCCCCTGTTCTATTTGCTTGAATTTCAGACATCATCATTATCATGGAATTTTTTAAGGACCTTTGCTATTGGAATCACAGGGATACCAATATCAGGTCGAGCTCACAGCATTTTGTACACAATATATATATATATATATATATATATATATATTTGTGTGTGTGTGTGTGTGTGTGTGTGTGTACCATGAGGATTTTTAATCCTCAATGAGATTAACTGAGAAGAAATCCGAAACTTATTTTGAAGATACATTAAGATTCAGAGGTACTGTGAGGATGCCTATGCTTTGTATGGCAATCAAGAATCTTTAATATCTACTACATTTACATAGGGAACAATAGTTTTAACTTTGACAGTTTGCCACATTATAAATGGAAATGTTAAATTTTAGCATAATGTATCATTTCAAATGGTGTGATTTTTTTATTTAATTTGTGGAGAATATGCATTTCATATGGATATAAATTAATAACTATGTTATGTCTCATGATCTCACGGTCACAAACATTTAGACTTATTTTGTAGCTTTTATTATCATACTCCTCTTTTTTTTTTCAGGCAAGTAATGGTCCAAGACCTGGTTATCCGGGTGGGCATGCAGGAGGTGGACCACCTGGCAAAGGAGGCCGACCCCCTTCCAACCCAGGCCCGGGTCCTACTCTACAATACAGACATGGTCCACACCCCCCTCACCCCTCTCACGCCCCCCATGCACCGCACCCACCAACCTCACAGCACCACCAACAGCAACAGCAGCAGCAACAACAGCAGCCTCCACAGCAGCAGTCACAGCCTCCACCACAGCATCCTCCAGGTCCTCACCATCAGCCACAGCAACAGCCACCACAGTCTGGTCCATTGCAGTCGAACCAGCAGTCTGGACCAGCATCTCAGTGGGTGGGATCCGGGCCGCACCAAAAACCTCAACATCCTCAACAACAGTCACAGCAGCAGTCCACTGGTCCAAGTCAACAGCAAGCACCACAGCCAAGTGGAGGGGGTGGGACAGCTGGGTCTCAGTATGCAAGTGTTCGTTATCCTGGTCCTCACCCGGGCCAACCCCCGGCTGTATCGCAGCCCCCAGCTCCTTATCAACCGCCCCCGCCATCATACCATCACCAGGTAGGTTCTTGAGGTCTTTGTAGATCGTGTTATATGCTAGGCATTTCCATTTTTCTTTAGGGGTTTCATAACCTATTACGTTCCAATTTCTATTTTCTTGAAATTATAATCTTGACCTATATATAGTTTTATGTTGAATTTGGGAAGCAGCTCCGTATTTTTTGTACAAAGTAAGTATTACACTTTGTAAAAGATTGGGTGTGACATATATGTCATGCTTAGTGAAATCAGTGTCATTTTCAGAAAGAATGTGTTATGCTTACAAACAAACGTTTACTTATATATACACAAGTTCTATGTCTTCAGCTTTGCTTTAGTTTTATATCATTCCGAGTTGATGAAAGTAGTAAAAAAAATTTAAAAATGCTTTGAAAAGGGAGATTTCAAGGAGTGCAAAGTCTCATGACACACTTATTACACTGATTGAATTAGGCTCTCTTACATCCACCCTTGCACATCTTTGTACATTTTTCCTGATAGTTTTGCAGTTTTACTCCATCATAGTGAATATCTTCTGAAACACATTTAGTGTGTCAATCTTCGCTTGACAAGGTTCCCTGGATTTGTTGGGGATACTCCCTTTTATGTAAAAGAATACTGTGGTTGTTAGAGGTTTGCTCCTTGCATTTCAACCGAGTCATGTTACCTCCATACTTTTTACGCAAGAGCCAAGCATTTTTCACGGTTTCATCAAACAACCATGTAAATATTTGGGTTGTTGAAACTGTTGCCACGACGGAGTTGCCGATCCATATGCATATGAAATTTGTTACATATGTCAGCAGCATAATTAGTTGTTTTGAGTACGTAATTTGAACAGATTTCAATTGGCAAGTCTTGTATCTGTTCTCACTCGTTCAGTGCCCTCATGAATTATCCCGTCAAATATGGAATTTATTTAAAGAGATTATCGTCATGTGAAATATGTTCATTTAATATAACCTTTCTTCATGCTTTAAGAAGATAAGCTACAGTAATGGCCAGGAATTAAAGTATGTTATGGGTAAAAGTGGCTGTGTTTTACTTGACTTATATCGCCAGATTGAAGATGGTAAAGATTGAAATTCATATTAAATAGGAATCACCTAAATAATATCAAAGTATTTCTTTTGAGAGTGATGCTCCTTCTAAAGGAAAATTCATAACCTGCTGGCATTTTAGAAGAGTTGGTTGTTTTGGACAGGAATTAGTGGAGCTACACTTCAATTGCTTACCAATGACCATAGATGCAAGGACAAGATCTAACGCCTATGTTGATAGGTTACCACAGGAATAATCTAAAGGACTTGCTATCTTTTTCAAACATGATCCAGTTTTAAGACAATAATCACAATACTTTCTAAATGTAAAGAGTGATAAATATGTAAGGTTGACCAGAAATGGATTAAACAAGACTTGTGATATTAAATGAATGTTAGTTATTATAAACTACAATGTTGCTTCCTATGTAACAGAAAATGTATAGAACTTGATAAAGATATCTTGCATATAGACGATTTCTGTTTTCTAACCTAACCATTTATTATGGCCATTGCTAAGCAGCGACGTCTAGTTGCTAGAAGTATGCAAACTCCATGTAACACAATATTTATTTACCCTTATAATCATTTCACAGTCATTATCATCTTGCTACATATCCCAGAAAGCATTCTAAATATTTCTTAAATTTATGAAGCTATTTCATATAACAGTTACATACAAATCTTTCTTATTGTCCTTGTTGAATAGATTCCTAATATGAAACAAAATACAATTAGGCACAGGATTGTCCCTTAAATTCCTGAAGGAATTAAATGAAGAAACAATATTAATATGTGGAACAACACAAAATACTAGTGTACATTTTTGTCATAAGACAAAGTTTATGTATTAACTGTACATTATCCATTATCCATTATAGTTACAAGTACGATTTCCACTGTTTTTTATCCAAAATTGTGGAATGTAAATTGTCTAAGCATACTGAATGCGGTTTCAAGTCTAGTTATGCAATAAACGCCAAACTTGCACGCACGCATGCACACAAACCCACACTAACACACACACAAAACAAACCACACTACCCACAACACACACCACAACTAACGCCACACACCACAAACCCACACAAACACCACACACACAACACTAACACCACACAACAAACCCACACCAACGACACACACAAATCCACACTAACACCACACACACAAACCCACACTAACGACACACACACAAACCCACACTAACGACACACACACAAACCCACACTAACGCCACACACACAAACCCACACTAACTTCACACACAAACACATTAACGCCACACACACAAACCCACACAACGCCACAACCACAATAACCACACTAACGCCACAACACAAAACCAACACTAATAAGCCACACACAACAAACCAACACTAACCCACACACACAAAC